AAATATAATTATAATTTATAATTAAAAATGAAAAACTATTTGAGCGCTTCTTATTTGTCTTTTTAGGAAACGACCTCTCGCTTGCATCTAAAATGTAGATACGGCATTTATGTTTGTACTTTTATGCTTTTGATTCTTTATTTATTTATTTATTTAAGTTTATTTTATTTTCTTTTCTTTTTTTGTTACTACTTCATTTATAATTCACTATTTTTATTATGTATTTAGATTATTAGTTAAGCTTCTTAAAGTCACCTAGATTACAAAAGCATCTTTTCAATCAACACCAAAAGGAATACCAATGGGTGAACTCTATTTTGGTCTTAACATTACATATTATTAAATGTCATTCATAATTATTAAATGATTTGTATTTTTAAAACAGATTGAAATTGATTCTTGAGAAATAAAAAAAATACTTGTCTTTTATGAAAATTCACCTTCATTTACTATTTCATATTCTAAAAATATAATTTTCTTACCTTGTTTAAATTCTAAAGGCAACGGCTGCTTACTGGAACTGCAATGAGCTCTATTTTCTCCATTCGAATCTAAATATAGAAGCAGTTCAAAACCAAGACAAGTGCCCCACAAAGGCATATACTGCCCATTGTCGTCATTTCCTTTGCAATATCAAAAATATGTCGTCCAGCATCTGCGTATCCATCGGATTGATTAAACCAGGTTGCGCCACAGGAAACAGAACTCTAAAACATAAAATAAAAATTGAGGTTTAACAAATCAATATTTTCCTTTTTTATTAATTAAAATATATGTTCATACATACAACATACTGTAATCTCAGTCAGACAAATTGTTTGGTGAGAGACATCACATAAATATTTTTACAAAAAGCCATAATAGTTTATTCTCTAATCTATTTAAAATTTATAAACATATAAACATATAAACATAGGAACAAACATACATATATACGCAAACAATATATACAAAAATTAAAACAATAGCAGTAATCAATATAATTTAGTTCATCTGTAATGTGTGCTTTTAATTTAATTTTAGTTCAGTTAAATCTGTGATTGGCTTTATTTCATCCGGTATAGAATTCTTGAACAATGTGGATCTATATAAGGAAACTCCTTTTTTATTATAATTTCTGTAATGCTGTAATGCGGGGTCATTTACACTTGAAAACATATTGCTATCTATAAGAGGAAATTTTTTTTAAAAAAAATCTCTTTTCTCGATAATTCTATTTTTACTGGTCTTACTATATATTTACTTGAAATAATATATGCCTAACGCATTCTATTAATAAAATGACATCTAAGCTGTTAAACCTTATTTAATTTGAAATTATCATAAACATTAATAAAGCCATATAAAAATTGTTATTTTCTTTCAATAATGAAAAAAAGTTTAGTCGCTTGCTAATTGAACAATACTTTCATATTGAACAAATATTTTTGAAAATACATTTAAGTGGGTGTTCTGGTCTAGAGGCATGAATTTATGAGTTTTATTGAATGGCCATAAAAAGGGCAAACAATTTTTTACTACATTTTTTACAATTTATAGTAATGTTGCGAGAATTTGGAAAAGAAATAAAAATTAACAATGATCGTAAAGTTTTACTTCTAGAAAGTGATGAAGTGGGGGGTCTCAAAATCTGAAGAAATATATATAATATTTAATTTTAAGAAATATATTTATTAATATTTAATATATATTTAATCTAGAATAATGTTACAATCGTTTGAACTAAAAAAAAATTACAACTTTTTTATGTTCTCGAATTTTTTAAAATAGTTAAAAATCGGAATTTGAGGATGAGCGTAGTTCATACAGATGAGATTTCTATAAAAAAGACTCTGTAAAAATTTCAAGTAAATCGATCTAGTAGAAGTTGAGAAATCGTGGGTATCATCTCGAATAAAAACAATTTCGAGGTAAACTAGTTTAAAGTTTTGCAGAGGAAGGAAACAGAACAAAAGATTATATCTTGTCAAACAGCCTTCTTCGAAAATAATTTGAATTTTAAAAATCCTCTTGTAAACACATTCTTAAAGAGTTAAACTTTGAAAGTATAAAAAAAAGAAAAACGATTTTTTTGAAAATTCTAGACCCTTAAGAAAATATTTTAATGAAAATAAATAAATATATTTACCCGCTGACTTTGTTCATTATATCTTTGTAGTAGTCTCTGTCTTTGTCGATCCTGAAATTAGTAAAATGAAAAAAATAATATAAAATCAAATATTGTAAATATTTTTTCTTATTTTCTCTATTTTATTTACAACTGTCCAGTTAAAGACATTTAATAAATTTGGGGAATTTGCAATTGTCATCCCTAAAGAGACATTGTATATTAAATGGACATGCTAGAAAAAACAACTCAAAGTTGTTTTCCCATTCGTTTAATATTGTAAAAATGAACATATTTTTTAAATTTATTAATATATTATTTATGTTTATGTGAATATATGTTAAAATCTACTTGGCTTTAATAATAAAATTTAATATAAATTTATAAATTACCATATCGGAACAACTCTAGCACCACCTCCTTCGACAAATTTAACATAGGACGCCGCAATGTAGCTCTTGACTGGTCAGGATATTGCTGGTTCAGGCTATAAGCAATTTCCT